TTGGCAACCGCTGACTTTTTTTTTTTTTCTTTTTCTGGCTCCGTATCTTTGCCTTCTCCATAATGTCATACAGTTGGAATCGTATAGTATGTAAGCTTTCCAGATTGGCTTCCTTCACTTAGTCACATGCTCTTAAGGCCTCTCCATGCCTTCTCATGGCTCGATAGCTCATTTCTTTTCAGCGCCAAGCAATACGTCTCTGTCTGGATGTGCCACAATCCATCCACTCCCCTACTGAAGGACATCTTGGTTGCTTCTGGATTTGGTCAATTACGAATCAAGCCGTTAACAACATCCGTGCCTATTTTTTATGTGGACATGTTTTCAGCTCAGAGTAGATGCCAAGGAGTGCAGTTGCTGGATTGTAAGGGGAGGGTGTGTTTGGTTTTGTAAGAGACTGCCAAACGATCTTCCAAGTGGCTGCGCCATTTTGCATACTCGCCACCAAGGACTGAGTGTTCCTGTCGCTCGCGTCCTCACTGGCATTTTGTGGTGTCAGTGTTTTGAATCTTGGCCCTTCTGATAACTGTGTAGTGGCATCTCGTTATTTTAATCGGCATTTCCCTGGCGACCTGACGTCAAGCATCTCTTCGTGTGTCTATTTGCCATCTGTGTATCTGTGGTGAGGTGTCCGTTCAAGTCTTTCGTTCATTTTTTAATGGGGTTGTTCATTCTCTTATTGTTGGGTTTCAAGAGTTCCTTGTGTATTTTGGATAATAGTCCTTCATCAGGTACGTCTTTTGCCAATATTGTCTCCCGGAGCATGGCTTGTCTTCTCATCTTTTATTTTTATTTTTTATTTTCACTTAAAATTTTGTTTTAATGCTTATTTACTTTTGAGAGAGTGGGGGGGGGGGGGGCAGAGAGAAGGAGACCCAGAATCCGAAGCAGGTTCCAGGCTCCGAGCTGTCAGCACAGAGCCCGACGTGGGACTTGAACTCACGGATCGCATGATCGTGACCCGTGCCGAAGTCAGATTCTTAACCGACTGAGCCACCCAGGCGCCCCTGTCTTCTCACTTTTTAGATAGCTGTTTTTCATCATTTTGCTTGAGGTCCTATCAAATTATTGGTAATCGTGTCTTGGGAAGTCAAATTCCCTGAGTTTTCCTTGGGAATGCCACTGACTCCTACTGCCTTCCTTTCTGCCTTTCCTTGCCTACTTCTGCCTGTCCGTTTTTCCTGTCATACTTGAGTAAATTCATTGAACAAACATTTACTGAGTTCTCCGGTAGGTGAGCCGTCGCAGTATGTGCTGTAGATTTAAGTGTGAGAAGCAAGTGTAGACCCAAGATGTGTGTTGTGTAGGAATTGACAATGGTCAGAGAACTGATACTCAAACGAAATGAGTGGCCAATAAAGAGACACTTGACCATCTGGGACAGCTACTTAACAATCCACCTTAACTTTGCTGGGCCTCGGTAAGAGACCATGAATTGATAATCAGGATACACCTCGGTGCCTACTTTGCCAAAGGAGAACCACAGGATTGGAACATGAATCAGCCTTGATTGATAAGTTGGTTATTGGCTTGACTGAAATGCTCTCAGAAATATTAAGCCACTAGTACAATTAAAAGGAAGCATCCTTGATTTTTCTTTCTTTTACATAGATATTCCAGAGGAAGTCACCAGCGTAGACTTGGCCGGTGTGAAGAAGTGTTAAGAACAGTAACACTAGGGGCGCCTGGGTGGCGCAGTCGGTTAAGCGTCCGACTTCAGCCAGGTCACGATCTCGCGGTCCGTGAGTTCGAGCCCCGCGTCGGGCTCTGGGCTGATGGCTCAGAGCCTGGAGCCTGTTTCCGATTCTGTGTCTCCCTCTCTCTCTGCCCCTCCCCCGTTCATGCTCTGTCTCTCTCTGTCCCAAAAATAAATAAACGTTGAAAAAAAATTAAAAAAAAAAAAGAACAGTAACACTAAATTCTTACGGCATTTTTATGTATTCAGCACGCATAAGCATTATTTAAGCATTTTTATGTATTCGGGCAGCCAGATAACTTTTACTCTGATCTCACTGGGTCTTTGGAGCGACTTTTCTCTCTTTCAATTGGGATAAGGCTGAAGGGAAAAATGCCACCTTTTATGGTATTAAGCGATCCTTTAAAGCATGTTGAATGGTTTGCATAAGGTCTCACACCAGTAGGTGCTAAAATAACTCCTGATTCGTGCTTCATTTTTACTACACATCAAGACAATCTTTAATTTCCTTTTTTTAATTATTATTCTTTCTTTGGAATAGGTAACTCTTTTCTTTTTTCTTCAAGCATGGGCTCCCATTTACCTGACAGTAAGATATATATTTGCCTGGTTTAAGGGAAACCATTCGGATTGATATTCATGAAAAGCTTTGAAGATAGGCTACAGGAGTCCTGAAGATGATTGGAAGATAGGGGCCCTGCGACACCCCAGCTGAGATTTACGGTGACGACCTACTCCTCTCTACAGCATTACGTTCTGATCAATCCCTAGTGGGTTGCAGAATGCTCCAAAGAATAAGCAAGCGTAATACAGGTAATTGTCAGGTTGTTTTCCTTTATTGCTGAGAGCACAATACTTTCAGAAACTAATCAAGAGGTAAACAGTGGAAGAATCTCTTCCTTTCCACTGATCCCTAGTAATTTGGTTCCTTCATTTGAAATTCGAAATGGAGCATCCATTTGTAACTCAAAATTAATTATATAGAGAAGGCATATTTCTGGTCTCAATGGGGGCGCGTGGACAGCATTAACACAATTTTAGTTGCCTTATTCAAAATGCCAGCTATTAATAAAAGTTTTGATAATTGAATAACATGGATTTGACTTTAAATCTAGTTTTACAGAACTGTGTTGTTCAACATCCTGCATATAAATATACAGCCTAAGATCTTCATTGTTATTTTTAGAACTACAGAGCACATGTAAAATACTAGGAATCAAACTAAACATATATCTAAAGATAGTAGTTTTAAAGTCTAAATTCTTGCCAAGTAGCAGAGTTAAGTGTAAGAACCTACTT